ATTTAGCTTGTTCATACAAGTATATAAATCTGGGGTTTCAGTTGGTCCAATCTCCATATAAGTATATAAAGCATTCATTAATTGGTGACAATCAGACATCTTAATAGAAGGATTTAAAACAGCACCAATTAAGCAAATCGGAGGAATTGAAAAGAAATATTTTTGAATTTTGCTTGCATTTTTTCAACAACATCCCTATACTTTTCTTTCTTCTTAAATTCAAAGAGTAGTAAAGAAATTTCAGCTCTATGTACTAAAGCCATAGTAACAGTAGGGTAATATGCTCCAGAAAACTCGACAGTAGCTGTATACAATTTATGTAAAAATTTAACAACATCATTAATGACCTCCCAAGTAGTAGTTGTTAACATATGGTTTGGATCAGTACAATGCGCATTAGCAACTTCAGTTATTGGGAATCTATATTTGTAGCAACATTTTAAAAATATATATATGTATAATTCCATCTAGTAACAATTTCGTTTGGTATGAATCTGGGTTTAAGGTTATACTGGACACACTTATTCTTAAATTCCTTTATTCTAGATTATCTATTATTTTCTTGAATAACACCAACTGCTCTTCTAACATGAGTAATCTTAGTTGAAAATAAATCAGGCCACTTTTAACAATTAAATTATAAACATAACATGCACACCTAACATGAAAAATTTCATCAAGAGGTGGTTTCAAATGCATTTTTAATATTGAAATTGCGGCATTATTGTTAGAAGCATTATCAAAAGACATACACAATACGTTTTGCTTGAGATTATAAAATTCAACAAGTTCACAAATAGTACTACTTATAAACGCAAAAGTATGACTCTGATCTTCATCATATCTAAAAGTGATAATACGTTTTTGCATACAAGTAGTATCATCTATCCAATGACATGTAATTGTCAAATAATCATTTTCATTAACAGCATGGCCAATATCAGAAGTTAGAGAAACTCTACAAGGAAGGTGGCTAAACAAGTAGCGTATGTATGTTTGATATTGTCCATGAAGTCTAAAGATATCAGCTCTACAAGTACTTCTAGGGATACCTTTAAATAAAGGATTGTAAATCCTTTGAATATACATAATAAGATATGATGAAGAAGCAAAAGAAAAAGGTAGACAACCCAAAACAATCATTTTTGCTAACTCCTCACGATCCTTCATTTTATCATATTTCACAAGACCACCAGTAGTAGGGTTTAGAGTTGATTGATTTCCATCTCTATCAGATCCCCATTCTATAGGACCCATTCTATAGGATGCTCAATTCTCATATGTCTACTAAGTGTCACAGTCCCTCCTAATTGTCCCCCAGTCTTATGTTTAAAAGTATCATTATAAAGTTTGCATTTAACTCTATCAGTACCTTCTATTTCCTCAAAAAAAATTCCAAACCTTACTTCTTTTTCTACGATTACTAGTCGGGGCCACAGATGGTCTACTACTAGCACCACGACCACCACCCCTGCTAGCAGCTCCAACACTACTGGGTGTAAGTGGTATCTCATCTTCCATTTCTAATTCATTATCATCTATACCAAAATCTTCCTACAATTGTTCATAATCTATATTATTATCAAGTAATGTTTCAGGAATATTTGGAGAGGTATTTAAATTAATATCAGATACTGAAGCTGAAGTACTACCTCTTTTTTTATTTTTCCGATTAGTAGCCTTGTTACAAACTCTTTTTGTAGCATTAAACATATTGTAAAAATTTAACTACTAGCAACAAAACAAATAAATATGCAAATAAAATAGTAAATAAGAGAAAGAGTCGGAGGGAGTGCACCGAATTCGGCAATAAATTGAGCATTTGATGATTTCGCAACTCCAATGTTACCACGAAGAAACGTCAATTGTTCCAATTTTGAAGTTCAATGTTCAAACTTCAAAAAATAAATACTACGATAAATTAAATTCCAAAAAAAAAAAGCCAAATAGTTGATGGCACTTTAATAGGTGAAGAATGAAGATTGAAGAATGAGAGAATATGATCATTGAGATTGAGAATTGAGAGATGAGTGAAAAAATAAGGAAGAGGGGGAGGGGGGAGGTATTTACAGTGTTTGAAAGGGGGTTTAGTTTTAAAAAAAGAAAAGAAAAAAACCCCAAAGTTGGGCTAATTATGCAATTCATCCGTTGGGCAACGACCATTTTCTGAAATGGACCGTTGCCAACGGTCAGATCTGGGCCCAGATTTTTTTTAAAAAAAATTACCGTTAAACCGGTCTGGGCCGAGCCTGTTAACCAATTTAACGGCATTGTTCATCTAACAGGTTATACCGGTCCGGGTAACCGGTATTTAAAATGTGAATGGTGCAACACGCGTGTCTCCCCTAACCCAGCCCAACCCAGCCCCCTTTAACTGGTCCGACCGATTCCGATTTTAACCGGTCTAGGCTGATCAGGAATTGGGCTTACCCGACCCGTTTAACACCTATACTTAGTACACAAGTAACAAAAAGAATAAATTATGAGATTATATTTTTAATGTTTTGCAAAAGATTTCAAAGAATCTCAACTCAACTGAATCCTAAGCAAAGGTCGGCCTAAACTACACTCCCTGCCTTTCTTATCCCAAACACTAGGCAAACCCTCTATTAAGCATAGTAAGTTGCATGCCTTTAGATTCCATCTTTTTTTATTATGAATCAATACGAAAAGTTGGATGTGCTTGTTGATCAGGATAGGTTTATTTTTGATCATTTTCCTCTGTAAAATAAAATATTGTGTTGCTTTTGGCAGATTACTTACTATTACGTGGATTGAACTCTGGCAGATTACATCACTCTAGTAGTCTCATACTTGAATTATGACTATTATAGGAAAATAAAGTATCACTGCTTACACATAATAATTAAGATGTTGACATGAGCTTTATTAGCAACACATTACAGCCTTGTGTTATCTTAATTTTCATGAGCATTTTTGAGAATAAGTCCATTCTCATAGGAAGCGGCCTACTTCCACACTCACATAGGTGAAATCTGTCAAGGGTGCTCCTGTAACTCTAATACCCCACTCATATGAGCTACAGATTTTCATTAAGAGTTAATAGAAAAACTCAACCTAGCAAATCGTTACAGGATAAATACACTCACATTATAGGGATGGAACAATAACAAATATAATAATGCATTTCAAACAAAGCCATTATATGATTCGTTCTTCCCATTGAACCTGGTTATAGGATCTCTAGTCCCTGGGTTGGGTTTCGTCATATATGACTTATAAGTTTATAGGCTTCAATCCCATCTCCATTGATATGCTCCAAACCCTTTCTGTTGCCAAGGCCTTGGTTAGTGAATCTGCAAGATTATCGCATAATCAATATTAATATTACCACTTGTCAAATATCTCACAAAATTATATTTTTCTCCTTATAGGCCTGGATTTACTATTGTAATAATGGTTTTGTACTTTACCAATAGCAGCGGTGCTAAAACAATAAATTAAACAAAAAGGAGGAATTGGTTTTTTCAAAATAAAGAATTTAAAATAATAAATGTCTCAACCAATTCGCTTCTTCACTAGCTGAAGCTAAAGAAATTAGTTCAGCTTCCATGGTAGTGTTTATTTTAAACTTCCAACAAATAGCACTACCTCCCAAAAATAAAATATAACCTGTAGTAGAATAGGAATCACCAGATAAAGTATTTCAATCCGCATTAGAAGAGCCTGCTATTTACTACACTGCATGCTCAATATGATGTCGAGTGTAATCAGTCACATATCTTAAATATTTAATTAAGCAAGCATACCTTTTTGAGTTATCACATCATTTTCACTTTGAACATAAAGAAGTGAACACTTGAATCAAAAAGAGTTACAACATGCTTGCAATTAATAAATTTATATATTTTTTTAAAAAAAAATTCTCAATATAATGTGACTGGTCAAGAAAATTTTCATCACATATTCTAGTAATTTTCATTCCAATAATGAAATTTACCTCACCCAGATCTTTCATGTCAAAATGGCTACTAGGTATACTTTTAATTTCTCCAATAATATTTATGCTAGCGCCAAAAATTAATAAATCAATAACAGAGCAGCAAATAATAACATGTGATATTATTCCAAGACTTATAAAAAATGCAGTTATCACACTCTTTTGATTTAATCAACATTTCACTCATACATGCATATTCAAAATTTTCATGCAATAATTTTTTATTTCCTTTACCCCCACTATTTCTAGAAGTATGAAAATTCATAATCATAAAAAAATATAATCACAAAGTCATCAAAATAGAAGGTAAAAAGTTTTTACCTTTCCACCGCTTGAGTAAAGCAAGTCGAAATTTTTTCACCTTCCCATCTCATAAATAGAGTGAACTTCTATCTTGATATCCGCTGTTTCTTCAACTGCATAAAAATTGAATCTCCTTAAAATAGTTTGTAAAATTATAAATAACTACAGTTGAAAAATAAGATGAAAAAAATTAAATAAATATTCTTCAAGTTGAGGCGCGGATATCTTGCTCTCTTTAAGGAGATTCAAGCCCACTGCAATAGCATTTTCACCGGTCCAGCAGTAATACTCTTGACTTGTCCCTTTCAGGATACAATAACCGGACAATATCATATGACTCGAATAAACTCTGGACAAGTTGTTGAGTCCAAAACTCCACCAAAATGAACACTTTCCTTCAACAAAATAATATTCTTTTTAATTGTAGATAATAAGTTGAAGACTTAGATTTTCTTCTTCTCTTAACTTTCTTTTTCACTACACCAATTTTTACTTTTTTTCACACACGCTACAATATTTTTCTACAATACAAGGAAGAAACATCCTATTTATAGGTGTAAAATTTCTTCCATAAAATAAATAATAAAATAGTGGGATAACAAAATTGTAGAACATGATTGGTGGTTACAAAATGTAATCTTTAGTGGTACATTATGTCATTAGTGATTTCATGAGTTACACTAAAGTAATGATCACTTTCTTGCCAATTTATAAACACTAACTCATAAAAAATAATACACTTTAATATTATAATTTTAATATTAAAATACACTGACACCAACAACAGTTACTATTGGATACATTTCTCTTTTTGTTTCCTTGTTCTTTGCCATAAGGCAAACAAATAAAAAAGAAAACAAATATATATATACAGAATGTTGAAAGAAGGAGCTCCCCACCATCACCACCCAACCTAAGTCAAATTGGATAGTAATATATAAAACTTCAGAAAATATGTCTGTGAAGATGTTATATATAAGCATGAATAGAGAATTAGATGACAAAAGATGGAGACAAATTAGACTAATTGATCGAATAAACAAAAAGGATATGAATTATGAAAGCGCGTCATATTTTTTCCAGTTAATTTTGGATCTCAACCATTGTTTCCTTTCCTTTGCTATCAATTGTCTTTTGGCAGAAAGGATACGTTAGCGGCATGTTCTTCTGCTATATATATATATATATATATATATATATATGTGTGTGTGTGTTTGCCTTCGCGACAATCATGGAATGTGACTCGTGAGTCATCAGTTCATCTTCATCACCACACTTAGTCTTGCACTTATATGTATTTTGTCATTTTCGAGAAATGTCGGTTTTCTTAGGCGAAAAGGTTTCCTAGTTGGCACTACCATCTATGTAGTACTCCTTCCTCCTAATTAATTACGTGAAACATGTCATTATTTAGATAGTGAAATGATCATTTTCACACTTACATATTTTCATTCCTTTTCCCTTTTTGTATTAATGAAAAATAGACTCTGACATGTGAATTATAACAAGTTATTGGAGTTATTATGATAAAGAAGAATGATGCAGACAGAAGATGTATGCAATACCCTCAAAGTCATATACACATATACCGTCTTTGTGTGATTTTTTGGATGAGAAACAATGTGAATTTTATTAACAGCCATGGCAATGACAGTTAAAGCTCAATTACAGTTAAACAATTATGGTTATGAGGAAGAAGGAGGAAAGAGGAGAGAAGGAAATGAGGTCACCGACTTTGTGAATTTGAGAAAATGAAAATCCTCTACTTCATTCAGAGAGAGTACATAATATATATACACAATGCTACAGTACTAGCTACTTTCTTAACTAACATTTAATCACCTAACTAACTTCTTAACCACTAACTCTACTTCTTAACTTAACTCTAGTATAGTCAGCTTGTTCAACCATATTCAACACTCCCCCTCAAGCTGATAGTCGAATACAGATTCTTCACCCCCAGATTATGTAGCAAATGGTCATGTTGTGTTTTTGCAAGACTCTTTGTAAGTATATCTGCAAGATGCTCCTTGGTAGAGACATGGTTTGTTTGTATCATGCCCTGCAGTATTCTTTCTCGTACGAAGTGGCAATCTATGTCAATATATTTTATTCTCTCATGAAATATAGGATTGGCAGCAATCTGAATCGCAGCCTTGCTATCACACCTTAATTGTACTGGCAGCTAAATATTAACTCCAAATTCTCTGAACAGTCCAATAAGCCAAGTGATCTCTGTTGTGCATGTAGCCATGCTTCTGGCTTCAGCTGAACTTCTTGACAATGTTTCTTGTTTCTTTGACTTCCATGAGACTAGTGCATCTTCAAACTTCACTAGATAACCTGTCACAGACCTTCTAGTCTGCAGACAAGCTCCCCAGTCTGAGTCACAATAGGCCAACAATTGGTTAGAGTTCTTTGCAGGCATGAGCAAGCCTAGTCCAGGTGCTTCTTTTATGTACACCTTTGGACTATGCATGTACTGACTCAGTATTTGGACTGTAAATGCCAAGTTTGGTCTGGTCATGGTGAGATACAACAGCCTTCCCACTAGCCTCTGATAAGGACCTGCATCCTTTAGATTTTCATCCTTGCTGTTACTTTGTGTATGCTTATCATACTCCTGAGATGCCAGCATGTGGTTCAGTTCTAAGGGTGTACCAACTGGTTTAGCTCCTCCAAGTCCAGCTTCAGCTATTATATAATTAGTTCTAGGGCATATTTCCTTTGACACATCACAATACCTTTACTTGATCTTGCAAATTCAATTCCAAGGAAGAACTTTAACTCTCCCGAGCCTTTCATCTTGAATTTGGTTTGCAACTCATCCCTGGTTTGTTGTAGAAGATGCTGACTAATGCCTGTAATTAGTAAGTCATCTACATAGACTACACCATTGTTATATCACCATTGGTCCTTTTGGTGAATAGAGAATAGTCATAGTGACTCTGCTAAAATCCCATTTGGACTAGGGCCTTTGTCAGCTTTTTGTTCCACTGTTTAGGAGCCTGTTTGAGGCCATATAATGACTTATGAAGTTTGCAGATCTTCATAGTCTCCCCTGTCTAGAAAACCCCTGAGGAATATGTATGTAGACTTCTTCTAAAATATCACCATTTAAAGAAGCATTGTGGACATCCATTTGGTATATGATCCAATTCATAAAGGCAGCAAAAGCAACAATGGATCTTACTATGACCATCTTAGCTACAGGTGAATTTTTTTTAGTGTAGTCCAGCCCTTCCTACTGGATGTAGCCCTTAACTACCAGCCTTGCTTTATACCTCTCTATCTCTCCAGAGGCCTTGTACTTAATCTTAAATATCCACTTGCACCCAATAGGCATTTTGTTGGGGGGAAGATCTACTATGCTCCATGTGTGATTAGCTTCTAGAGCCTCAATCTCAACTGCATTACTTTTATCCAGTTAGGATCCTTAGCTGCTTCTGCAAATGACTGAGGTTCAATAGTAGAAGAGTATACTGTGAGAACCTTGTAGTGGGAGGTTGTAATATTGTTGTATGTGACATAAGAAGACAAGGGATATTGGCAAGATGTATTGTTTGAGCTAGTTATATAATCTTGTAACCATAGAGGTGGTCTTCCTGTCCTCCTAGATCTCCTGAGAGTATGATCAATAGTTGGTTCAGATGTGTGCTCAATATGATCACATCACCTGCAGTTGCTGGTATTGACTCAGGAATATGAGGCTACACATGAGGACTACTGGCTTCCTCAGATGGTGCCATATGTGGTGTTGAGGCTGACTCCTGATGTGGTGAGCTGGAGGGAGAACTAGAGGCTATCACATCACAAGGAACACTGTCAACAGATGACACCAAGTCCAGGACTGGAAATAGAGGAGTGCCTATATCCCTCATATGTTTGAAGGGAAATATCTGCTCCTGAAATATGACATTTCTATTGACAAAAAAATGTAGTGTGTAGAGAGTACAGTTTGTATCCCTTTTGAGTAGAAGAATAGCCCATCATTACAGCTGGTATGGCTCTAGCAGCAAACTTGTCACTCTCTTTTGGACTAGTTGCATAGCAAAGGGATCCAAAGACCTTGAGATATGACACAAAAGGTGGGTGCAAATACAATATTTCAAAAGGAGACTTGTTGTGAATTACTTGAGAAGGTAGTCTATTGATGAGATACACAGTAGTACTGATGCACTCACCCCAAAACTTCAAAGAAACTTAAGCTTGAAACCTAATAGATCTAGCTATCTCTAGAATAGTTCTGTGCTTTCTCTATACTACTCCATTCTGTTGAGGGGTATAGACACATGAAGTCTGATGAGTGATGGCAAGGCCTGACAATAGTTGTTGACACTCATTGCTGCAGAACTCACTGCCATTATCTGTTCTGAGCACCTTAACAGTAGTGGAAGACACATTTTGTGTTTTAGTTAAGAAGTCTCTCAAAACCACAATAGTGTCAGACTTGGAAGAGATAAGGAACATCCATGTATATCTACTGTAGTCATCTACAATAGTCACAAAGTATTTCTTACCATCATATGTGGGAACTCTATAGGGTCCCCATATGTCACAGTGCAATAGATTAAACACAGACTTAGAATTAGTATTACTCAGTTGGAAGGGTAACTTTGATTGCTTTTCCAATGGACACACAGTACAAAGAGTTACATTCTTCAAGAAACTAAGAGACTTGTGTTTCTTTATTACATTAACTGGTGCATGACCTAACCTCATATGCCACAAATGAGGAGTTGTTATACTCATACTAGTGTTAGTATCTACATGTGCACATTTATTGTTAGTTATAGAGCCTGACTTAGCCTTAATAGGAAGTCTCCCTCTTAGCAGATAGAGTCCATAATCTTCCTTACCAATCCCCATAACCTGACCACCGTAGAGGTCCTGAAAGATACAGATGTCAGGAAAGAAAACTACTAAGCACTATAGTTCTTTGGTAAGTTGAGATACGGATAGGAGATTATACCTAAAATTAGGTATATAAAGCACATTATCGAAGCCCTTATCCTAAAGTACAATAGAATTCTCTTTATGAGAGATTAGGACATTGGTTCATGTGGGTGAATGAACTTTGCTTCGTTGTGATGTAAGAATATGTTGATAGCTATTTAACATTTGTAGGTTTGTTGTCATATGATTTGATGCACCTGTGTCTACTATCCAGTTGTGATTAACATACTCAGACAATAAGGATATCATAATACCTGCAGATGAAGCTTTGCTAGAGGCTCCTTCCTCAGCTCCTTTGTTGAGCAAATGTACAATCTGTTGGTATTGCTCCTGAGTAAAGAAGGGTACATGTATCTTGCATGGTGCTGTTTGGGGCTGAGTGAAATCTAAGTGACCTCCTCTAGTCTGTGAGGATTAAGATAGATTAGCTTCAACTCTACATTGTTGATGAACACCTTGTTGTTGACAACAGCTTGTCGTATTATAGCCTTCTACTATAAGATAGCCTATACCACTAACATGATTTGAATAGATGCTA